AAAAATGAGTTAACTCCTCCAATGGTCACTGAACTTAAGTTCATATTTTTTATTGGTCACTGAAATTAAAAATATCGAATTTTGGTCATTGAACTTGGTTGCATGTCTTCGATTGCTCACTGAAATTTCAAATATCGAATTTTGATCACTAAAATTTGAAACACGTTGTACATTACTCACTGAATTTTAAATAATATTGTATATTACTTACTATAAACTCGATATTTTTCAAATTTCAATTGTTATGCTAGTGAGTAACGTACGATATATTCAAAAGCTCAATAACCAAAATTTGATATTTTATATTTCAGTGAGCAATTTAAAATATGGACCTAAATTCAATCAACAACGGAAAATATCCATCTAAATTCATTGATCAAAGACATTTTAAATTTATGTGATCAAAGACATGAACCAAACTTCACTTAGCATTGGAACAATTAACACCGAAAAAACCATCTCCTTAGAAAAATTAAGAAATAATCTCGCCTTCTCTAGTCTATTGGAGTGGTGTTAGATGTGAGTCTCTCCATTTCTGGGATCTTTCAGCTCAAAGAGTAAAGCGACTCACCAACTCCAACTATTTATCTTCTATTTTCGTACCCAAAACAGGGACAATTTCATTCACTCGCCTTGGATGAACAAGGTATTTTATGCAATATATATATAGATATATCCTTCGATCTGTTTTCATCCCACTTTATCGAAGTAGATATTTTTATTTCCCATCATCAGAGTTACTTTGGAAATGTGCAAATCAAATAAAACCTAAAAGATGAACGGGACTCGGTTTTGATTCCTGAGTGTTTGATTTGTTTATGTTTCTGTTAGTTTTGAATTATTTAATCACAATCTTTTGTAAATGTGTAGAGTATAAATTACTGTGCTTGAAGGGATTAATGGGAATCATTGATTTAGGCACTGAACTTCAATACAAATGCTTTCTTGATTCTAAAAAGGCAAGGAGTATTAGAACAGGACAATTTGAAGCCCATCTATTCTTTTCATGAATGAAGCAAGGGAGTTTTGAGCTTATTTTGGCTTTAAGATAGTAAAAGAACGTGATGTTAATTATGTTCTTTTGTAACTGAAGAATGGGTAAATTAGTAATTGGTGAAGCAGTCTTCAGTCTGATGTATTGCTCTGAATGGTGATTTGATTGTTGAACACATCAAAACTAAAGAATTGTTAGGTATCCTTTAACTTTGGGTCTTAATCTTGGTTAGTGGGTGTCACTGCCTTCTATCTAAAATATCAGCAATGTGGCATATCATAAATCCTGTTCATGTTAATTATAATTATTTGTGATAGGTTGAGCTAAATGAAAATACTAACTTTTCCTGTGTACATCGTTGGTGAGGTACAAGGATATCCATTGAGACATGATACTTTAAGTCTGAGAAGTGGTGTTATGAAGCCATTATTAGGAAGTACAAGATAGTTTCTAAAAGGGATTTATCCTTCGAGCCTTAAGTTAGAAGTTGTAACTTGTAAAATCGCTTGCGTGTGGATTTAGTGGTGTTAAATACATGAAGTTGATGAATTCTCTGCATTGAAACCACTAATGCAAATTCTAAGTCTTAATGTTTCATGGTATTATTGATGTGTTTTGTTCAGAGATAAGTCGAGCATGAAAGATTCAGAGTGTTCTTCACAGTTTACATAATTTTGTCACATATTTGCTCTTGCAACATAAAAACATTACTTGAAATATAATTGTTATAGTTATGATTTATGAACAAGTGGGGAATTGATCTTATTGGACCTATGCCTAAGGGAAGAGGTAGTGCCTATTTTGCTATCGTCGCAATTGACTCAGTGGGTTGAAGTTGAGCCGCTTGCCAAAATAAGTGAAGTAAACACGTCAAAATTCTTGTGGAAAAACATCATCTACAGGTTCGGCATTCCCCACTCGATTGTGTCAGATAACTGACGTCAATTCGATAGTAAAAAGGTTAGGGACATGTGTGACGAGTTGGGAATCATGAGGCACTTTTCCTCCGCACATCATCCACAAGCAAATTGACAAGTTGAGGCCGTGAATAAGACCATAATACACATTGAAGAGAAAGCTCGATGCCTCAAAGGGGGCATGGGTCAGCGAACTGCCTCAGGTCTTATGGGCCATCCGTACAACAAGCAGAATTGTCACTGGCCGAACCCCGTTTTCTATAACTTATGGTGCCGAGGCAATGAGTCTGGTTGAAGTTGATCTGCCGTCACCTCGCAAATTGCACTTAAACGAGGTGTCCAATGAGGAACTAATAAGGTGCGAAGAAGAAGTGAGTCTCAATCCAAGTTGGCTATGTATCAGGGGAAATGGCAAGGTACTACAACTCCAAGGTTAAGAAAAGGCGTTTCGTGTAAATGACCTCGTACTCTGAAGAGTATTCTTGTCTACTAAAGAGCCAGGGGTAGGAACTCTTGGGCCGAACTAGGAAAGTCCATATTGATTAAAGGAAGAGGCTCGACTTGGGCCCTACCAGATAGAGGGACCGGATGGAAAGGCACAGCCGCATCCATGGAATGCAGAACATCTGGGAAAATACTATCAATGAACTTTGTACATGACCTTATACTGGTTGATTACTAATGAAATGAGTTTAGCTTTAACTTGATTTACTTAGTAAATTTTGTTATATGAATATGACAAGCAATGTCCCCAAGTGGACTGCCTTATAGATGAATAAAGTGCTGAATACAACTACAAAGCTAGTTATGCGTCACTCAACCTTGCTCAAGAAAGGGGGGAAACAAACAAAAACGGCCGAACTATCAATACTTGTGCAAAAAATTAATCACAAGCACGAACGAAGCACATGTCGAATACAAAGACAAGATAACTATACATTAGAAAATAACATCAACAAAAATAAACAAATGGAATTTTCATTAATAACTAAAGAATGTTACAAAGTGGGCTTCAGAGGCCAGATTACAAAATGAGAACGGAAAACAAAAATTACAAAGTCCTATCTAAGTAGGTGGGGGAGGGGGAGGTACAAAAGGAATAATGGCATTGGTTTCAACTTCTTGGACATTAGCCCCTTCTTCATTGGCTTCGTTCTCGATCTCTATTACTTGGCTTCCCTTGGCCAGAGTTTGAGGTTCGCCTCCCTCCTCCAAGAATTCTGACCTCAGCTCAGAGGTATTGACGGCTTGGAGATTGGCTTTAATCCACTCCATAAACTCTGTGTAGGCATACCTCCGCCAGTAAGTACCAAAGCTTTGGTATGCCTACAATTAACCGTTGATATATATTATGGGCTGGTTGAGTGCAGCCAACAATTAGTGGTTATAAAATTGAATAAATGATCTTGGAAATTAGAATCGAAGGAATCCATCCGTCACACATGATAACCAAACCTTTATACCTTCTCTTGTTTTTTAATTATAAAACCCTTTTAACTTCTATCATTCATTTTAAAACTAAAAGTTGCCGTCTTAAAATCGGGGAATGTATTCAACTTCTCTATGATATTGGTCCGCATTATGGTCTTTTAGGAGAAAATCTGGTCATTTCATAAGAGAGAAGGTACATGGAGTATGGATAGAAAACGGCAGAAACAGTAGAATTTACCTGAAGGTCTTAAATTTCTAGAGAGAATGAAGAGAAAGTTTCATTCTGTGGAAGTACATATCTTTTGATTTGAGTACATGTGGAATGCCCTTTGTTTAAATAAATAAGATTGTGGTTGGCATGAATTACAAAGAATACCTTTGCTGTGTCGTCAAAATTTTAAAATTTTCTATAGACGACTGTAATTATTCTTTATCATAAGCGTAAAAACCACTCAATTGAGAGTATTATAAAACTAGTGCATGTAAATAGGCCCTCTTTCTTGAAACGATTGATGCTATTCATTTTTTAATTTTCCTTGGCGTGGGGTTGAGGCCGGGGAACCAAATCATAAAATATTGATGTTATGTGTATATACAAGCTTCTGTGCCTTTTTAGTTCGAGTGATTAAAGAGTCTTATTTCCCTATCCCTTGAAAATATACTTTTTTCCTTTTTGAGTTAGAAAGTTTAATTTTTGTTATATATATATATATAACTAATGAGTATTTCCTGTATTGTGTTCTGAACCCTTTGTTGTAGAACTTCTTTTTGAAAAAAATGGAAGATAGTTTCTCGTCCTTTTTAACTATCTTGATTTAGGGCTCAGCCAGGGGGTTGACAGGTGAATGTAAATAGTGGGCATAGGCTTTTGTATGTGCCTCCTACTAACATTGAGCTTCCTCTGTATCATCACTTATCACAGCTGGCTGTGATTATTTGTAACAGTGATCTGTCCCTACATTCTGTAAAGATTCTCTCTCTGTGTGTGTTTTGATTTGGAGGTGAGGTAGGGTTCAATCCAATAAACATTGTTTGATGTTGATATATGAGAATCTATCCCTTTTTATTTGCATTGATTCAAGAATCACATGCCCCTATCTTTTGAAATGGTACTTGGATAATATAGAAAATCTTGTGCACTGTTTATCCTGTTGTTAAATTTCCTTACATGGTGAAACTTCTGTATTGCATAAGCTAGACATGCACCGTGGTCTATATTTTTTCAATATTTCCCTAGGCTAGTACTTGTCTTATTTTTCATCATCTATAATTCATTCAATCAATATATTATCTGTGTGAATACTAACCTTAAAAATGCAATCACAATAGCACTCACACACAAAAAAATTATAGTGCCTCCTAGATTTCTGATCTTATCTATTCAACTTATGGTCGTGTAACTTGATGTGTATTATTTACTGATCAGATGGCAGATCGTTATTGGATCATTTTCTTTGTGGTGTACTCCTGCCTTGTTAGAGTACTTGATGCTAGTGCTGGTGATGCCGACCCATTATATCGGTAGTTTCCCATGAAGTTCGTTTACTTATTCAGAGCATGTTTGACAACCATTATTGTTTTGAATAGTGATTTTTAGGAGAATGCGTGGTTAAAAAGTAGGAAAAAATTTTGGTATACATGTATAATATTTTATTATTTGAATGTGTGTTTGAAAATGATCTTGTAGCAAACCAGAAAATAAATTTATGGTTGTCAAACAGGCACTCAATTTCTATGCTATTGCCCAAATTTTATTTTGTGATTTTTATTTTGCTTGTGTGTGGAGCACAACTTTTGCAGTCAATTGTCTTCATTTATTGATGAAATTAGCTGCTCAAAGTTTGTTCTTTTTGACTTTTTCATGGCTGTCTTCAGCAGGATCGACTTTTCCCCTTTCTTCCTCTTGTTGTGCGGCGAGTGTTGTTTTGCTTCTTAAAATTATTCTTCACACTAAGCCTTATCCAAAGATTCTTTGATCAATAGAAACTATTGAAACTTCAATCTTTATTTTTATATTTATACCTTTTCTCCTGCATAGCCAGTTTACTCGCATCCAAAATTGTATGCAATTAATATAGGTCTGACAACTCTATTTTCCTGCCATCTTTGGATTGGCATGCTTGACATGACACATGGCTGTAACATAAAATTGAAAAAGCTAAATATCGAAGGAATTTATTTCTGTTCGTCTCAGTCTGAAATCCAAAAGGTAATTTTCTGAAAGTTTGTCTACAGGTCAAATAACATGAACTTTGATCTAGTTAAACTTCGGTATTCTATCAATTTCAGGGATTGCGTAGGACAATGTGAAAAGACTGGATGTGTAGGGGAGAGATGCTTTCTGCACTGCAAATTCTCCTCAGACAGTTCTTCCCTCGATGGCCCTTGGTACATGCAAGAGCCTCTTTACTTGCAGTGGAAACAATGGGATTGCCAGAGTGATTGCCGCTACCATTGTATGCTTGATAGAGAAAAAGAAAGAGCAGAACTTGGTCACGGCCCTTTTAAATATCATGGCAAGTGGCCTTTCCGACGTCTGTATGGTTTCCAGGTCTGTAACTCTACAAGCTTGTGGCCTTCGTAGCCAGTTGGCTTTAGCAGACTTCCCACTTTAGTGTCTAGTTTTATACTTTTTGAGCATGCATCTGAATTAATGTTCTCAAATCATTCAGGAGCCGGTTTCTGTAGGTCTTTCAGCTCTCAACCTTGCAATGCATTTCCATGGCTGGCTTTCTTTTTTCATCCTTCTTTACTACAAGTTGCCACTAAAACCAGATAAGAGACCATGCTATGATTATACTGGCCTGTGGCATATCTATGGGTTCTTGTCCATGAATTCATGGTTCTGGAGTGCAGTCTTCCACAGTCGGTGAGCTTTATACTTCACATTTTATTGTCCATGCTTGTACTCACTTCTGTCCTTATATTAGCTGAGGGGACAATAAGATCTCGTATCATGTCAAATTCTAGCTTCTATTGCATTGGCCATTCAGGCATGTTTGCTAAGCTTAAAATTTTTTGTTTACAAGCATGTCTACTTTAACCAATAAAAATCATTTTTATTCACATATAACCAATAAAATAATTTCCGTTTGGCAAATTTATATATGGTTCATAAAGAGCAATAGCAATGGACCCCATGAAATGGGTGGATATAATGAGTATTGGTTATGAATTTGTCGTTAAAATTAATATTTTACTTTGAATGAATTTATAAAATATATCCAAACGAGGTTATGACTTATTAACTTGTGAGTGAACTTTTTAAGATTAGTCAAACATGCTCCTTGTCCATTGGTCCTTCACAATCAATCTGGCTGCCTGTCTAGTCAAATGTTGTAAATTATTTTTTACTATTAACAGTTTTATGAATCTCCGAATGGCAGAGATGTGGACTTGACCGAAAAGCTAGACTACTCATCAGCAGTTGCCTTACTCGGATACTCACTTCTTTTGGCCATAGTGAGAAGTTTCAGTGTGAGGAACGAAGCTGCAAGGGTCATGGTTGCTGCTCCACTGGTTGCTTTTACGACTACCCACATATTGTACCTTAACAACTATAAAATGGACTACGGTATGATAGTTGTCTCCCCGGTATGAGTATCACTTTCAGTTTTTAGCTGATGCTCTTATCTTCACTATTAAAAGTCATGTTTTACTGTAGGACTAGGACTAAGACTAAGACTATATGACTCTGGAACATTTGACAGGGTGGAATATGAAAGTGTGTGTTGTGATGGGCGTCACTCAACTTCTCGTTTGGGCAATGTGGGCCGGGGTTACCCGTCATCCTTCTCGCTGGAAGCTGTGGAGTGTGGTTGTAGGAGGTGGCCTGGCGATGCTGCTGGAGATCTATGACTTCCCTCCTTACGAAGGACTGGTCGATGCCCATGCTCTTTGGCACGCTACCACTATCCCTCTAACATACGTCTGGTGGAGTTTTATCAAGGATGACGTTGAATACCGAACATCTAGCCTACTCAAGAAGGTAAAATAGCATGTATTCCCGTCTTAACAGACGACCCCAAATGGGTTGCTTTTAGACCGAAAGCGTGGCCGGAGGAGCCACAGAATGTATCTTTCTCGACTGAAATGCATGTCACTGAATGCACTAGTCTTTCCGGCAAATATATTAGCAAGAGATTGGAAGTTTTTATGATTTTTGGTTGTTGCTAGAATCGTATATCGTAAACTTGTTGACGAACTTTTACATTATTTTTTGTGTTTCTGGGTGAAACATTTGACATTATGGCCCCGTTTGGTAGGAATTTTTTGCCCAAAAAAATTGATTTTTTGACTGTTATTTTACTATTCAAGCCGTAATTTTTGACTTCTTCTCTCACATGTGGACCCCACTTTTCTTCTAACGGTCAAAAAATCAATTCTCAAAATCCCTACCAAACGAGCCCTATGATTATGATAAGGAAGGTTGAGCCGCGGAGAACTCTTTGTGCTAAGAAACAATTCATATAATTTTACTAATTTATATACTTTGAGAGCAAGTTATTTTGATTTTCCCAGTTTATTTTGTACCCTTCTTTATTTTATTATTCTGAAATGACTTTTGAAATTATTTGAATATTTCGAGGTCATATGCTTGGAGCCCAAGTTCTTATTTTGATTCTAGAGTATCATACCCTGTTTAAAAAATGGAAATGTAATATTTCATCAGTTTTAAAATGCAGCCACAAACTCCCTAAATTTTGAAGCTAAACCGTATTGTCGATGCTTAAGAAAACTGTTTTTAACATTTTGACACTATAATGTTAAATGGGTTATCAATAGAGAGGAAATTTTCGCGTAAAAGTTGGGTTGGGTTTCAGTTTCTGTTTCTGTTTCTGTTTAAAAAATTTGTATAAATTTACATAATTTTGATAAAATGCAAAATATTATATATATACGTACATTTTAATAGAAAATATCAAAGTTGTAGGACACACTGATTTTTCAGAACAATTTTATCATTTGTTATTGTAATTTTCAATTGTTTTTTATTGGGCCGTCAGCCTGAACTGTCATGATTCTGTAAAGCCCAAACCTAAAATGCAATATCTTCAAGTGCAGAACGACAACTTTCATTTATATCTGGCACGTGGCAAAAAAAATATGAGCGTAATTGAGGAAACTGTACGAAAACAAACCGCAGACGAGAACCCATTGAATTATAATTTATATTTATACCCTACCCTTATAGGGTTTTGAGGGCACTAACACGCCTATTGCCTTTTATAGCTCCGTCTCTCAGTGATCCATAGCCTAAGGTCACTGAGAGCCGCCGCCTCTACTCCTCATCCCTTCTCTCTGTCTGTAAGATTGTGTATCTTTTCTATCTCTAATTTATGATTCTATTAGTACGTGATTGCATGTAATTTTTTTTATTGATTTCTTGAGCCTGAGAAAATTTTAATTTATAGATTGGATGATTTGTTATGTTTCTACGTTCCGGAGTAGCTGATAATTCGTGCGTTTAAAATATTAGATTTGCTTATGGATAGATTTAATAGAAATATATGAAGGATCAGAATAGGATATTTTGATCCTTATCCAATTTTAATTGGACTATATTGCTCATACTTGACCTGAGATGTTATTTTTACTAAATGTTAAGTGTGTGTCTATATATATATATATATTTGGAGAGCTCAATCAGAAGCCGAAGTGATCCTTTTGGATTTATGGAATTACGTTCTATACATTTTTATATTCTTGTTCAAAGAAATATGCTATGGGAATGTCGAACATGCTAAAATTGCTTTGGTTATTTCACTATTCTATTTTGATGTCTTTGAAGAACGGGAATTATTCACAAGCACCATACAGGTGCTGCGTTGCATTTTTTTCTGTTTGTTTTCATCAAAATTTGACAAGTGTCCAATCTGTAAAAGTTCTGTCAAACTCCACCTGTATGCGTAGCATCACTGTCTTTGAAATATCAAGGAAAATATTGACTTGTCATGTTCGAATAATGCTGTGACTTTTTTACCATGTTCCTGAGCATTTATTCAGGTACTATGCAGGATATGAGAAATATAGGATGTTTAGGTGAAATGTTGCATAAGATTGAGGAAGTGATAGATCTCTCCTCTCGAGTAGGTGTGGATTTAGTCCGTCTCTTTCTGATTATGTCATTATAAAGAGAACATTTCTGCCTGTGAAGTCTGTAGTGAATTTTGTTCTGGTTTTATGGACATGGATTTTAATTTCAATCCCGTTAGTGAATAATAGTGATGGCAAAAAAATCCGCCCCGATCTGATGGGGCCCTAACTTGAATGGGGCCAAAAAGCCTACCCCAAAGGGTTGGCGGGGTGGAGCTTAACTCCCCACCCTGTCTCAGGGCGCAGGTCGGAGTGCGGCCCGAAACCCGCTCTGTGAAGAGAAAAAAATTAAAAATAATTTTATTTTAGGACAATTCACCTGTTAAAAATTCATTTTGGATTTGTATTTTATTATTTAATAATAGCATAACTCAAATTTTTGAAAATGTAAAAAAAGGGGGGCAGCAAATGGGTATGCCTTGCCCCGAACCCAACCCATTGCCATCAGTCATAGAGCTAAAGTTGCTTTTCTTGTTGACTTTTTTATTTTAAATATCTTTTTTATTCTGATTTTTTTTTTTCTCTGGATTGCAGGTATTTTGAAGCAGACCTCCAACAATTTTTTTCTTGTCTTTTTTTGAGTTGTGAAATTTAGAAAACAGTCAAAATGGTAAGCACGGAAAGTTGATTTATATATATAGATAGCCTTCCCCTTTGCCTTTGCACCAGGTATGGGGTTTCTAATGATCAAATTTTCCTTGGATATGTGTAGGTGAAGTTCACAGCTGATGAGCTCCGCAGGATTATGGACTACAAGCACAACATTCGCAATATGTCGGTTATTGCCCATGTTGATCACGGTGTGGAAACTTCTTACATTTATTTTCAGCTCAATATTGCTTTTATGTGCTGTATTACTGGGCGTTCATCTTTGTTTACAGTATGATGCAAGTTCGTTCACCATATCTATCTTGATGCATGTAGTTACTGTAGTTTTCATTTCATTGTAACAGGGAAGTCCACACTTACTGATTCTCTTGTCGCTGCTGCTGGTATTATCGCTCAAGAAGTTGCTGGTGATGTTAGAATGACAGATACCCGTGCTGATGAGGCTGAGCGTGGTATCACTATCAAGTCCACCGGTATCTCTCTGTATTATGAGATGTCTGACGAGTCTTTGAAGAGCTACAAGGGAGAGCGGAATGGCAACGAGTACCTCATCAATCTTATCGATTCTCCTGGACACGTCGACTTCTCATCTGAAGTGACAGCTGCTCTTCGTATCACTGATGGGGCTCTTGTTGTGGTTGACTGTGTTGAAGGCGTGTGTGTCCAAACAGAAACAGTCCTCCGACAGGCCCTTGGAGAAAGGATTAGACCTGTTTTGACTGTTAACAAGATGGACAGGTGTTTCCTTGAGCTCCAGGTTGATGGAGAGGAGGCTTACCAAACATTCCAGAGGGTCATTGAAAATGCAAATGTCATTATGGCTACTTACGAAGATCCTCTCTTGGGTGATGTTCAGGTTTACCCCGAGAAAGGTACCGTTGCCTTTTCTGCTGGTTTGCATGGCTGGGCTTTCAACCTAACAAACTTCGCCAAGATGTATGCCTCCAAGTTTGGTGTTGATGAGGGGAAGATGATGGAAAGGCTCTGGGGAGAGAATTTCTTTGATCCAGCCACAAAGAAGTGGACCACCAAGAATACCGGTTCACCTACATGTAAACGTGGATTTGTTCAATTCTGTTACGAACCTATCAAGCAGATTATTAACACTTGCATGAATGATCAGAAAGATAAGCTCTGGCCCATGTTACAGAAGCTTGGTGTTGTTATGAAGTCTGATGAGAAGGATTTAATGGGGAAGGCATTAATGAAGCGTGTGATGCAGACATGGCTTCCAGCTAGTACTGCCCTCTTAGAAATGATGATCTTCCACCTTCCATCACCTTCTAAGGCACAAAGGTACCGTGTGGAAAATTTGTACGAGGGACCTATGGATGATGCTTATGCTACTGCTATTAGGAACTGTGATCCTGATGGCCCTCTCATGCTTTATGTGTCAAAGATGATTCCAGCATCTGATAAGGGTAGGTTCTTTGCGTTTGGTCGTGTATTCTCCGGCAGGGTCTCGACTGGTTTGAAGGTCAGAATCATGGGTCCTAACTATGTCCCGGGAGAGAAAAAGGACTTGTACGTCAAGAGTGTTCAGAGAACTGTTATTTGGATGGGTAAGAGGCAGGAAACTGTTGAGGATGTACCGTGTGGGAACACAGTTGCTATGGTTGGTCTAGATCAATACATCACCAAAAATGCAACCCTGACCAATGAAAAGGAAGTCGATGCACACCCAATTAGAGCAATGAAGTTCTCCGTGTCACCTGTTGTACGTGTTGCTGTTCAGTGCAAGGTTGCGTCTGACCTTCCGAAGCTTGTTGAAGGTTTGAAGCGTTTGGCCAAGTCAGACCCTATGGTTGTCTGTACCATTGAGGAGTCTGGTGAGCATATTATTGCTGGTGCTGGAGAACTCCACCTGGAGATATGCTTGAAGGACTTGCAAGAAGATTTCATGGGTGGTGCTGAAATTATAAAATCAGATCCAGTTGTGTCCTTCCGTGAGACAGTTCTTGAGAGGTCCTCTCGCATTGTTATGAGCAAATCACCTAATAAGCACAACCGTCTGTACATGGAAGCCAGGCCGTTGGAAGAGGGACTTGCTGAGGCTATTGACGATGGACGTATTGGTCCAAGAGATGATCCAAAGCTTCGTTCTAAGATCTTGTCTGAGGAGTTCGGTTGGGATAAGGAGCTTGCAAAGAAAATTTGGTGCTTCGGTCCTGAGACAACTGGTCCAAACATGGTGGTTGATATGTGCAAGGGAGTCCAGTACCTTAATGAAATTAAAGATTCTGTTGTTGCTGGTTTTCAGTGGGCTTCGAAGGAAGGCCCATTGGCTGAAGAAAACATGAGGGGCATCTGCTTCGAAGTTTGTGACGTGGTTCTTCATGCTGATGCTATTCACAGAGGTGGTGGTCAGGTCATTCCAACTGCTAGGAGGGTTATTTATGCCTCCCATCTGACTGCCAAGCCCCGTCTTTTGGAACCAGTGTACTTGGTGGAGATTCAAGCACCAGAGCAGGCTCTTGGTGGTATCTACAGTGTCCTGAACCAGAAACGGGGACACGTGTTTGAGGAATTGCAGAGGCCAGGTACTCCACTTTATAATATCAAGGCATACTTGCCTGTTATCGAATCATTTGGTTTCTCAAGTACCTTGAGAGCCGCAACTTCTGGACAAGCCTTTCCCCAGTGCGTGTTTGATCACTGGGACATGATGTCATCTGATCCATTGGAAGCAGGGTCGCAGGCTGCACAGCTTGTGATTGATATTCGAAAGAGAAAGGGTTTGAAGGAGCAGATGACACCACTCTCCGAGTTTGAGGACAGACTGTGAGTCAATAAAGGCTTAAACCTTTGTGAATTTATTACCTCTGCGCGCTGTAAAATTTATAATTTTTCTGGTTCTTATATTTTCGGTGTTCTATTAAACTCTTGAGTCCGCTCCCAGATTCTGATATTTGTTGCTTTTAGATGTCACTAGGACAAAGAGTGTTGCTATTCTTCATTGCTTTATCCTGAACCATTTCCCTTTCGAGAATCTTGGTAGAATTTTTTATTTTTTTATTTTTTTGCTTGATCATTTCCTGTTTAACCTTAAATGATTTTGGTACATGCTATATAGTATTTTGTACTTCCTTGTGTGTCCGGTATGCATTTTAATTATGTAGGTAAAGTACATTGCTTAGAGTTTGTTGCTATGAACTTGCTTCAATTGATGTATACTTGTAGTTCGTTGCTCGTTGCTGCAACGGGACGTAATTCTTGTCTAATAGGTTTAAAGGACCAAGACCGACCACCTATAGCGTGCTCTAATAATAAAGTGACTATTTTTTCCAGTTTTTTTATTATATATGCATATTTGAAAGTAAACTGAACTTTATTGCCAATTATATTTTAAAAATCTCAGCCATGCTTGTTCTGTTTTATTTATATTATATTTCATGAATTACGTATACTTTACTGTTTTCAAACTAGAAACAGAAACAAAAGCTTCCAGATTATGTTGTCGGGTTTGTGGGTTTGGTTTGGAGAAGGTAGTGGTGGGTGGCGGCGGCACGTGAGGGTGCAGGTTCAAGTTTGAGCAGTGGACAGACATGAGTGGCGATGTGTAAGGAGGTAATGATCTTGGAGTAGAAGATTTTTTTGGTTCAAGCCGCATACAAGCACAATGAGATATATGTTAGGACTCACGGTCTTAGGAGTGGAATTATGATCTTTTGAACAGAATGGTGTTATTCACAATCATTTACCATGAAAATCATATTACGTGACATACGCATAACAGGTGATTATTTGATATGTGAGTCAATAAGAAACTAGGAGTCCAGAACAACATATAAAGCTGAACCATACAGAACTATGGACTGCTTTGATCACAAAGAAAAAGAAATGAAGAAATTGGGTGCAAAACAGCCCGATATTATCTGTATTTTCTGTTATGCCTAAGGAAACAATACGTTCTGATTTTAAAAGAAAATGCAACAGCAACTATGGCACCAATTACGTAACGATTTTACAGAAGGTACACCTTATCTACCATCTGCTAATAGAAGTGTGACAAAAAAACGGAAGTGCTTGTATAAAGCAATTACAGTGGCCTAAAACAGAATCAGAGACAGCAGCTCAAGAACCCATTTTATTTAATCATATCTAGACATGATAAAATAGACAGTGGATCTGTACGTTCATGAAAAATTATTCTCCCCTTATAATATGAAATCAAAGTCAAATATAAATTTTAACCAAACATTCACAACTACTACCCATTTATTTATCCACATTACGTGAAATCCATTACTCTTCATTACAATTTCTCCCAAACAAGCACGAAGTAAATGTGATTTGCTTGTGAAGGGATAAAAGGTTAAGACATCAAGAACTGATTGCTAAGAACCAAGAATTAATTGGCTGAACTCATAATCAAAGTCATGTCACTTGCATAATACTCACCATTGGTTACTTCATTTGACCTCGTGGTGTAACCAAGAATATGTGATCCACCCAATCTATCCAATTAATGGAGACAATTTTAATTTCAGGCAAATGCACTTTCCAGGACATGACAAAGTACACATGTTATGACAAGGTGATTAATCCCTTAGAGGAACAATGATTCTCGACTCACCTTACAAGGTTGTTGCGGTGGAGGGTTAGTCTTAACTTTCTTCTAGTAACTCCCCTTACTTTCTTCTCAACTTCCAAACAAGATAATTGTCCATCATTCCGATAGATTCCATCAAATGAGCTCAACACCATTAACTTAGTCCAGTTGGGACCAATCATGTTGTCAAATGGTTATTGAAATTTTCAGTCATTGAATTTTAAATATTTCTCCACAGTTACTGAACTTTCTCGTGATTCTCCATGGTCATTAAGAACTTCGGCCACAACCATTAAAGAAATCTGACCATGTATGAGGGAAATCTACTTCAGGAAAACAATGTTTAAACCAATCCAAACTTCCAACATCGGTTAAAGTTTGGTTTGTGTGATTGAGCAGCTGTCTTAGATTTGGAATATTACCAAACCGCTGGATTCAATATATATAGTTACACGCATCAAAATATAGAGATTGAAATTATAGTTCAACGAGTACCTCTTGAGACTATAATATACAATTTTATGGTTGAACGAATTGCATAAAGTCCTACCGAATCAATCAAGTCTAGGCCAGACGCTATACAAATTGTAGCTATGACTCTTGAAAATTCCAACATGAAAATAGGTAAACGTCAAGGGAATAGACAAAGGAAAGGGAATTCATACAGAAGAAAGTTGAGTAATGATTTGAGAACAATATTTATCATTCAAAGTTAATGACCTTTCACGTAAGATTTTTATTGATCATGTCAGCTGCTCCTTTAACAGAATCCATCTAAATGACGGACGAGCATCATGTTTGGTAGTCGAGTGACCATGAAGAAAACTTTGAAGTTCAATGACCGAGTGTAGTAACGCAACGCAAGAAAAGCTCACCTCATGAGCAATGCTTTGTGCTGCAAATCTAAATTTTGCATGAAACTTTTGTAGCGGAAGGTTTGATCACCAATAGTGTTTTCCGGGCTCAGTATGAAATCCAACAATCAAACACCTCAAGAAACCAACCAACCCAAATCCATTCAACTATCCCCAGCATCAGCTGCTTTAATGTTACCCACTCATGACACACAATACGGGAGTTATTGCAGTCGTAAACAGGGGCGGACCCAGACCTTTAGTATTGTGTGGTCAAAATTTTAAAAATAATTTTTTTAATAAACAACATAATATCAATGAAAATAAGTTTATATGTATTTTGACACTTTGAAAACGTCGTATAATTACATCGTTATTAATATTATTAAATAAATTTTGCTACTTGTATAGTTTTGTTTATCATTTCATTGGCAAATGCTCAGCTAATATTGAGTAAATTAAATTGAATATAGAAATTAAATGAATTGAAATAAAATTCAAGTTTAGTTCAGGAAGTAAATGAAATTCAAATTTAAAGCAAATATAATTCGAAAGTAATTCAAATTGCATTTAATCCATAACGATTCTAAAAAAATTACGTCATATTTCATGTAAGACTTCCGAATGAAACGATATAAATTATATTGAAAAATTTATCGTGCAGAAATAATAATTAATTGAATTAAAAAAAAAGAGTTAGACGTCTTTTTTGAGGCGTATGTTTGATACATATTTAACTATTTTCGATATCTGTTTGGACCATTCAATATAAAAATAATGTAGTTTTCGAAACAAACTTTTACATGGCATAGACGATTTGTGGATTCAAATAACTCATAATTGCAAACGAATTTTTAAAGTTAAGATATTATCGAAATTCTTAAAATACTAGTTTCAAACGTCCTACTTTAACATGTCATAACTTTTGCTATATTTGACCACTTCGCATGTCATTAATGAGTGAAAAACTAGGTCATGAGCACTTCGAAATGGTATTAAGAATGTAATATCTTGACTTCATTTGATATCTTGACGAGTGCATTAAAATAGATTGTAAAAAAAGAAAAAAT